GTTTTTTTTTTTTTTTTTTTTTTACCGTTGCCAACGGTCAAATTTAAAAATGACCGTTGGGCAATGGCCATTTTTTGCACTTTTAACCATTTCGGCTTACCCCTTACTAAAATTTCCCCCACTCCTAATAATTGATAAATCACATTTTTAGCCTTTTAAACACTATAAATAGCCCCCCTCCCCTCCCTTTATTTTTCTCACAACTTGCTCTCTTCTTCTACTCTAATTTTCTCTCAATTCCCCCTTGATTATTGAATTGCTTATTGCTCTCAAATTCTCAATTAATTATTATTTCAAGTTTTATCAATTATTTACGCTAACTACAAAATTACAATTATCAAGTGAAATGTGGTTACCATTTTTGTTAGGTTCAAGTTCAATCATGCCTCGTGCTTCTAGAGCACGCTCACATGTTTGGGAACATTTTGAGATACTAGAAGAAAATGAAGAAGCTCGCAAAGTAGAATGCAAGAACTGTGTTCGAGTCTTTAATACTCATTGAAAGTGGGAGGGCACATATGGTTTAAGGAAGCATATCAAGGGTTGTCTTTAGCGTCTTCCAGGAATTCGTATTTAAGTTGATTTGAGACAATTTGTGTTATTTTAAATTTTTTAGACTTATTTAAGCTTAATGTGTTAGTTTATTAGACAATTTGCTCTTATTGACATTTAGCAGTAGTAAACACTAAACTTTTAATTGTTGTAAACTTTTAATTTACAAGTTCAAAAATTTAAAAAAACAAAATAGAAGTTGCAAGTTAATTTGAAATATTATTATGCAATGAAACTATGAAATGAAAGACTTTGAAGTTTGATCCTTACATATTGGTCGTATTAAATAATTTTATGTAGCCACTTAATTTCAATTTTAAAATTTTAAAATTCAAATTTAACACTTTAAAGTTCAAAAGTTTAATTTTATGTCGTAAAATACTTATTTTATTATTTAAAAGTTTGCAAACACATAAGTATCAATTACATTGAACATGAAAACATAAATACACTAAGAAAAGGAAAAGAAAACCCGGCCCAGTTCAAACCGGATAAGTCCGAACCCGGACGAGCCCATTAGAACCCGGAATTACCTAGCACACTAATAGCCCGGTATGCCAGCCCGCCCACTAACCGGACGGGCTGTTTTTTTGGTGACCAGCCCCGTCCAGTCCTTCCAGTAAACACCCATACTCCAAAGTCCAAACAATGCATAAGCTTCATTAACAAAATCCAACAACTAAGCTTCATTTTCTTTTCCGAACAACCCTTCAACTTTGTACAATTATTAAGAATACATCACTAAAAGCAAAATTCAAGTTCAGCATCAAGAGAAGGCAGTACTAAAATAGCTCTTAACAACATCATTACACAGTATTTGCAGCAGTGTGCTATTGTTTGGACCAACACATCTTGGGGTCTTGAACTGGCTAACAGCACCCCCTAATCCTACAAAATGATCTAATATCTTATGGAATGTTCCTCTCTTCACAACTCTAAGCTCAAGCGCTCCAATGGCATTAGCCTTCCGAGAGCCCAGGTAGCCTGCATCGATGAACGATTTGTCCAAACAATTGCAGCATTCTTGCAATGTTTCATCACTTGCTTCACCACTTAGTTCCCAGAAAACCACGTAGTGCCCTGGATCAGCTGCAATATTCACGTGGCTCGTGAAATCGACTACCTCTGACTTTTCATCTACTAAGAGCTTAGCTGCTGCTTCCACGGCTAGCTGTAAATCTTTCTCAGTGTTCTTGTCAATATTAATGCTTAGCAAAAGATTTCTGCGGCAAATGAACTGCAGTTCTGGTGTGGCATTATGGAATCCTTTTATTTTAACTACATCACCGAGTCTATAACGATACAACCCTGACATGTACAAAATTGTTCAAATTTTGGCGAATGCTTGAAAAATCAAGAAGAATTTAAAGCCATGAAAAAAGATGAAACTCCTCACTACTTTTCCTTCAAAGTCACACTCCTCTTCTTTAAAGGTAACAGATTAATAAAATTGCACTCAACAGTAATCACCTACTCTTAGTAGCATACATAGAGTAAGACAAAAGATAGACCAAGTAACGTGCATTAAAAAATGTATTACAAGCGATGAAGCACCTAAAACAACTAAACAAATATTTGAAAGCAGAATGCAGTACCATTTATTCCTTCAAGATGTGTAAAATATTAAGTACTAAATAATTAGCTCTTCTCTAGATAATAGACATGCTTAACAACATTGAGGAAGAGGTCAAGAGAATATGAACGGCACCCACATGCAGGCATGTGGATAAGCACAAATATGTACAGCGAAAGATGAGCAGGGCAGCAGGCTTTCATGTATATAGTAAAAAGTTTCTAAAACTATACTTTTATATTAAGCTACCACTTCTCATATAATCATTTTTCATGAAATAGTTCCAGAAAACGGACACCAAGATTGAGCTACCACTTCTCAAATATAAAATCTCCCTACTAAAATTGAAAAAGAAGTAGATGAAAAATACTCATAGTTTATAAAGAGTAAGTACCAACTGTATCTTAAATGAACTACTCCTATATTATGGTGCGCAATAAATAATTGAGTAATGCCTTATAAACAGTAGCATGGTACCCTCTCAATAATGGTATCATGATAACAAAGTTATTTTTGCATCAGAAATTCACAGAAGTCACTGACAAAAAGAATAATTTGGTCAAATAGAAATAGTAGGAGGGAGAAACTTGTACCTGCAAAATTGGTGACAACAATTTCATACTCTTCACCAAGTTTAACTTCAGCAAGACCCAGTGGTGTAGGCTCAAGGCCGTCTAAATTCCCCCTTAGAGGAATGAATTCAAAATAACCAATATTAGGAAGAACAGCATAAGTAACTAGCTCAGGGGGCAACTTAGGATTGACATTTGCTCCAATCCATCCTTCAGAAGACCCATAATCTGCACTTTGTAATGGTAGCTCCCCTGCATAATGCCTCAATTTCTTGAGGTAAGGTTCCATAGACCCCGTCATGATTCCGTATATGTACTTGGCATTTGGGAAGAGTACAGGAATCAAACCATACCAATTTCTTAATCCCGAACACTTTCTAAAAATGTTATCAGCCTGTTCTGGATCAGGTTTCAGCAATTTCGACATTGCTGATCTAATGGAGGGGACAGTGACTCGGCTAGAGAGGACTCCTTCTCTTATATCTACAACAAGTTCTTCCCACACTTGTTCGAAAGTTCTAAAGGCGTGGACAATGCTGTGGGCGAATGTAGAGGAGATAACTTGCACTTCGTCCCGAAAAATAAGCCCACACAAAAGATGGCAGTATAAAGATTGGTGAAAATCAGGACCAAATATAACTTCGTCAGGGCTACAACATGGGGTTTGCATTGCCTTCATTGTTTTCTTGAATTGTGCATTACGATATACATTGGTAGTTGCAGTTCCAGCTGCCAAACCTCCCTTTGTCTTGAACTGCTTGCTGCTGTAAATGAACTGCAAAGCCTTCCCATTCCCAACTGGAAATTCTCTGCAAAAATACAAATAGTAATTTTTAAAAAGATAAATAATTAGCCATAACATTAAGCAAAGCAACAAGAAACCAACGAGTACAAATTACTGATAAAAGGAACATGGCGTCCTATTTCTCAAACAATTTTCCTGCTGTGGTTACCAGAAAATGTGACAGAAGTTGGGAATCTGTCCCCACATATTTCATCATGTGAAATGAAACTCTAATTACCAGTACTAAGAAAAAAAAAAGTATTATTTCCTCCATTTCAATTTATAAGACACTTTGATTCGGTGCGGAATTTAAAAAAAAAATACGATCTTTAAATCATAAAGGATCACAAGTAAAAATAGTTAAAATGGAAAGTTTAAAACTAAATTATTTTCAAATATAGATATAATCACTCCGGTCACTTTTATTTGGTACGTTTTGACTTTTCAAATCCCTTAAGAAATAATAAATGAAGTGCATAATTTACCATGTTACTCATATTAATTGATACATATTTTATTGAATTTGAGAAAATAATTTGAAATGGTAATAAATATTGTGGGTAAAACATAAAAAAATTTGTTGTCTTTTCTTAATATGCGTAAAGTGCCAAGTAAAAGTAAACATTTATTTTCATTATATATGCCAAGTAAAAGTGACTGGAGGGAGTATATCATTTTTTTTTTTACAATAGACTAATAAGGAAAGAGACAACAATAACAGAAAGTTGTGAATTTTAGGACTCCCGGTGGACAGACAAGGTGAAAACCAAAATGAATTCATTTTCAAGAAGATGTTGAAGTGTAATAATGAAAAACAAAATTTCCTGAATCAGCCCCACTTTTGCAGATGGTACCAAGAAGCAAAAAATGGGAAAAAGACAACAAGTATGACAAAATGACATAGCAAAGCATTATTAAGGTAATACACCAAAACTACATTACCGATTCCTAAAGGCAAAAGAAGTTTTGTATATCTGTATAGTGGATTCCATCAATTCATCATTGAAAGGTACAAACTTTGGCCTTCCCTGTGTTGTACCCGAACTGCAGCAAAAAACAATTCTGTTAAACTTTCTAAAAATTGTCAACTTTATGGCACCCCACCACCAAGAAAAATCTTCATGCAAGTACCAACAATACTCTTTTCTTTTTTTACATTTATTGTAACTGACTTAAAACTCTTTATAACAATCTCATTTGCTGTTATAAAAGACATACTCTTGTATTATAAGATAATATGAAAATCTGTTTCGAGAAAAACTAGACTTTTATAGTGAATAATATAGAGAGGACCAACGGTAGTTAATATTGGTCCATAAAATGGAGAAAATAGTTAAGATCTGATACCTTAATGAAATGGTTGTAATAGGTTTTCCAGTGAGAAGAGGGGAAAGATCCCCATCAGCAATTCTTTGAATGTAAGGCTCTAAATCTTTGTGAGTGACAAGAGGAACAGAAGCTGTGAAAGACTCAGCGTCAGTTCTTCCATTTAGACCCCATTGCTGTAAATACACTGTGCCTCCATTCTCTTTTAGAATCTTTTTAAGAGTCTCTTGTTGAACTTTACCAGCGTCTTTGGTCAACGCCTCAAATTCCTCAATCACTTCTTCTGGATTAAATTCCATATCTGTCTTCTCCACCATCTTCACTATCTCTTCCTGTAATTAACAATGAGCAATATTCATAAGCATAACATAAATTAAGTTCCTTTAAATCCCAAACTAGTAGGGGTTGACCACTTGCAAAAGAGAAAGGAAAAACCAATTAAAAAGAAGAAAAGGGCAATTTCAACAGGGTAATATCAATCAATTAGTACTTGTTTAAGATTAATCATGAAGATTAACTTACTGTAAAATAAAGGATGTAACTTGAGGGAGAGAGAAGGAGGGGGAAGAGGTGTAGTATGGGTATAGGATAGAACAAAAATAAGTTCAAAGTTTAGGAGGATTGGCCAATATGAAAAGGAGAAAGTTCATGGAAGCTGTTAAAGAATTTTTTTGAATGTATCATTGACGTTGGTCCACTTGGTCAGCACGTAGAACTTAGTTAAAAAAGACAATAAAATAAAATAAAATAAAAACACATCGATTTGATGTTCTGATAAAAGTTTCCATGGAATTTCGCAACTAATATCCAAAGAAAGATACATGTATGAAGGTGAAAAGATCAAATAAAATGAAAGCAAGCTGAATTGGTGGCTACCAAGTGTACAACAACAATTAATATTTCAAATTGGTTACAAGAATCCTCTATATTCGTTCTACTCGACTCAAATTGAACCAACTATTAATATTTTCTTTTGTAGAATACATTAATTCGCCTACGAACATATGGAATTATCACCTACATGTATAACCAGTCACACAACGTAAGATCTACATATAAGATTTTCTTTTCGAAATAAGAAAGAAAATTGGAAAAAATAAATATAGAACCACGAGAATCCACACAAACTCCAAAAGTTACTTAAAGAAAGGTCCAGCAAAAGAATTTCCAAAATATGGAAAATATAGAGAAAGGGAAAAAGGGGTTTCAGAATCCAAAAATTAAAAGCCAACGAAGAATCAAGGGAAGTTTATGATAAATATGAACTATCGGGATAAAAATCATTAAAAAACAGAAGCAGCTAGCTCTCCGGCCAACTGCTCAAATTCCGACCAAGAAAAGGGTCAAAACAAACATGAAAAAAAAACAAGCAAAACAATCATATGAGTATTTCAAAACACAGTACCTGTAATATGAACAGTGGCTAGAAATGAAAAAAAAAAAGCTGCTCAAATCAGCGGGGAATTTAAAGTAACGGTTTTTCGTAATGGTATCAATCACTATATGACAAGACTCTGTGAAAGAAAAGTGATTTTGAATTTCGACACTGTAGAGCACTAGAGCTATGAGCAAGAGATATATAATTACACAATTAAAAACACGACAGTGTATTCTTTTTTGTGTATTCCACCTCTTGTTTCTCTCTCTATTCTCTAGAAATCATGCAAACAGTGAGAGAGAAAATGACTTTGTTAATATGAATATGTGATGAGGTGTAAATGTTTGGATTTATCGAGAAGAGTCCTATTAAGGCTCACTTTCATTAAATGGTCCAATATAATTATTTGTACATGGACTGGAAGCCCACATTTCTTTAGTCTTATTTTTCATTTTATAGTTCTAAATATTTTTATCTTTGGAACAAATGAGAAAGAAGGATACGATAATATCAATAAAAGGTTTCTCTCTTCTCTCTCATTCTCTTATCAAACCCTAGAACAATTCGGTACAATTTGCTTCGATTTTACGCAATCAACATGGTATCAGGGTTAGGGATAACATAGAGTGGGATTTGCTCTATCCTCCAATGTTACTCTCATTCAATTTCACCGGAATTGTATTCTTCCGGCACGGTTCATCAGTTCCAAAAATTTTCTGATTTTCTTGGCGTATTTTCTGCGCAATCTCGTTGAGGATAATCATTTCGTGTTTCTTCCGGTGATTTGTTGTGAAATTTGGTGCTTTTACAAGTTCCTCGTGGACCTAGGGTTCCCTATTGGTGAAGCTGGTACTCGGTGAAGCTGGTACTTTACTTCACGACTCTTTTCTTTTGAAGGTCGTACCTCTCCGGTTGCGACGAGGATCGGTACAATTATTTTCTGCTTCGTTTATGTATAGTGTCTCTCTGCTGATTGTGATAAATTTGATTTACTGTTGTTATTTCTTTCATTAAATCATGACTATTACATATACTACTCTGTCTCCACCTACTGGTGACAACTTAACCCACACTGCTGCAAGTACACATCTTCTCTTTCATCCTGATGACTACACACACCTTTGCCATCCTTTATATGTCCATCCGTCAGATTTGTTGGGATCTTCTCTAGTTACTGATCGTTTTGATGGGTCATCATATGGAAGTTGGCGTAAATCCATATTAGTTGCTTTATCTGTCAGGAACAAACTTGATTTCATCCATGGCACTTATGAAAAGCCACCTGAGGGTTCTCCTTTACTTCGTCAATGGCAACGATGCAATAATCTGGTTGTTGCATGGCTTGCTAATTCTGTCACTAGAGAGATTGACCAGACTGTTGTCTATTCTGAGTTTGCAAAAGACATCTGGAGGGAATTAGAAGCTAGATATGGGCAAACAGATGGGGCTAGGGTCTTTGAGTTAAAAAAGGAGTTGACACATGTTTCACAAGGTGCACTTGATGTAGCCTCTTATTTCAACAAGATTAAGCACCTTTGGGATGAGTTGGCTTCAATTAATGTGAACTCCCCAAATAGATGTACTTGTGGTGGGAATGCTAAGTCTGAAGAAGAACAACGTGTGTATCAGTTTCTTATGGGTCTCAATGAAGTCTATGTCCAAGTCAGGAGTAATATTCTCATGATAAAGCCTCTTCCCTCCGTGGATACTGTTTACAGTATTCTCCTAAGTGATGAGAAACAAAGACAAGTATCTGCAACTTCTCAATTCTCTTCAGACTCTGCTTCCTTCCATGCTGGGGTTTCCAAACAGTCATACCCTGCCAAGGTAGCCTTTGATTCTCATAAATTTGTTATCACTTGCAAATATTGCAAGAAACCTGGACATAGCATTGAGAAGTGTTTCAAGCTTCATAGTTTTCCATAAAATTTCAAGTTCACCAAAGGCGGTGGTCCTCGCAAGGCTGCAGCTAATGTAGCAGCTGATGTTTCTGGTTCACAATCAGTGCCTTCTAGGTTAGACAGCTCTCCTGCTCAGGTTACTCCTGAACATACTTCTGGGATTCCTGGCATCACTCAACACCAGTATGTTTAACTGATACAGCTTCTTCAACATTCCCATCTCAATCCTAGTTTCTCTTAGTCTCTTATGGCTTCTGCTCACTTTACAGGTAGAGAAGCCACACACAGTGTTTTACTTAAACCATGTTTGTTTTCCCAAGTAGATAGTTCTGTTAGGATTATAGATTCTGGGGCTTCTGATTATATGACTTCTTAGAAGTTACTTCTTTTTAATATCCAACCGCTCTTTATTCCCTGTCTTGTTTCTTTACCTAATGGTTATGAGGTTAAAGTTACCAATTGTGATTCCTTAACTTTGTTCTTAACTTTACCTTGCATAATGTGCTTTATGTCCCTACTTCCAATACAACCTCATCTCTATTTACTATTTGGTTTCACAGTTTGATGGCATAGCTCAATTCTCTAGCACTTTGTGTTATTTACAGGGCCCTTCACTGAAGAAGCCTCTAGTGCTTGGTAGATTGGACCATGGTTTATACAAACTGGAGATTCCTCCTCCTACTTCTTCTTCATGTGTTTCAAGTTCTTTAGTTGCTTATCCTGCTAGTTCCAATTCTGATGTTACTATTTCTGATAGTGTTAATAAGCATGAGTTTGTTGTTATCCCTTCCACTATTCCCCATTGTAATTCTGCTCATGCAAATTTGAATAAAATGGATGTGATTTGGCATTTTAGACTTGGTCATATTCCTTTTTTCAGAATGAAACATATACCTGTTCTTAGTTCCTCTCTTTCTTCCAAACAATCCTTTCCATGTTCTGTATGCCCCTTAGTTAGACAAACCGGACTCCCTTTCCTTGATAGTATTACTCATTCTACTGCCCCATTCCAACTCATTCACATTGACACCTCAATTCTCCCACTACTACTGGTGCAGAATACTTCCTAACTATTGTAGATGACTACTCTAGAGCTACTTGGACTCATCTTTTAGGGGCTAAGAGCAATGCTTTTGATATGCTCAAAAATTTCATTGCTATGATTGAGACTCATTTTAATACCACAATCAAAACTGTGAGGAGTGATAATGCCCTAGAGATGGGCTCTAGTACTACTGGTTCCAAATTTTTTTCAGACAAAGGTATTATTCATCAAACTTCCTGCCCACACACACCTCAACAAAATGGTGTTGTGGAAAGGAAGCATAGGCATCTCCTTGAAACTACAAGGGCATTGCTTTTTCAGTCTTCTTTACCTATTTCCTTTTGGGGTGATTGCATTCTTACAGCTACCTACCTAATAAATAGATTTTCTTCTTCCTTGTTACATAACAAGAGTCCTTTTAAGATACTGTATGTTAAGTCTCCCCCATATGCTTACCTTAGAACTTTTGGTTGCTTGTGTTATGCCATTGTTCCTAAATTTTATAGAGACAAATTTGAGCCAAGGTCTGTTCCTTGTGTTTTTTTAGGTTATCCCTTTGCTAAGAAAGGCTACAAATTATATAATCTCAATTTTAAATCTTGTTTTGTCTCTTGAGATGTTGTTTTCCATGATTATATCTTTCCTTTTGCGCTTCCTTCTCCTTCTCCTTCTACACATGCCTCTGTATTCTCCCCTCCTCATATTCCTGATGATCCTGTTGTTCCACTTATTTCATCTTTTCTCCTGTTCCTCTATCACTTTTTGTTTCTCCCTCTTCTTCTCCTGCTTTACCCATTGCTTCTTCTCCTTCTCTTGTCGTACCTGTTGCCCCTCTTCCTTCTCTTGTTCTTGAGGTTCCTGTGAGGCAGTCTTCTAGACCCCACAATCCTCTAGGATATTTGAAGGACTATGTTTGCACACTTCCTTCTTTCTGCTCCACTTCTATTTCCAACACTGTTTCTACTAGTGTACCTCCTGTATTTGAACCCTATATATTTTTTCAAGTTGCCTCCATTCCTGAGTGGCAAGAGGTAATGAAGAATGAATTTGAGGCTCTTGACGCTAACAGGACTTGGGTGGTTGTTGATTTGCCTTTGGGGAAGAAGCCTATAGGGTGTAAATGGGTCTACAAGGTTAAATATAGAGCCGATGGTGCTATTGAAAGATATAAGGCTCGGTTAGTGGTTAGGGGTGACACACAGGTAGAAGGGATTGACTTTGATGAGACATTTTCCTAGTTGTGAAAATGTCCACTGTCAAGACTTTGGTTGTTGTTGCCATCAAGAAACATTGGCCCTTATTTCAGCTTGATATCAATAATGCTTTTTTGCATGGGGACCTGGATGAGGAGGTTTATATGAAGTTGCCTCCTGGTTATACTGTTCCTTTCACTTCATCTTCTGAGCAGCTAGTTTTCAAGCTTCAGAAGTCTCTTTATGGTTTAAGACAGGCATCCAAATAGTGGTATGCCAAATTGTCTCAATCCCTATCTTCTAGAGGCTATACATCTTCTCTGAATGATTACTCTCTCTTCACAAGGGGTTCTGTGGATTCTTTTGTTGTTTTAGCTGTGTATGTGAATGACATCATTCTGACTGGGACTGATTCTAATGAGATTTATGCTTTAAAATCCCTCCTTCATCAACAATTTAAGATCAATGATTTAGGGTCTCTTAGCTATTATTTGGGGATTGAGGTTCTATATTCTTCCACCGGGGTCCTCTTACATCAAAAAAAGTTCATTGCTGATATGTTGTCTAAGTTTCATTGTTCAGATGTTTCTTCTTTTTTGTGCCCTCTTGATATGAATGTGAAGCTTAAGGCAAATGAAGGTGATCCTTTGCCTAAGCCTGAACTGTACAGATCTTTGATTGGTAAGCTGAATTTTTTAACTCACGCGAGGCCTGACATCAGCTATGCAGTACAACATCTCAGTTAATTTATGCAGTCTCCCTGCCTTTCACACATGTCTGCTGGCTTGCATCTATTAAGGT